GTACGATGAATCGGAGGCGATGAATTGGCGTACACTAGATGAGCGTGAGAAGATTCTTGGAGCAGACCACCCAAGCACCTTAATAAGTGTCAACAACTTGGCTATTGTGCTAGACTCCCAAGGAAAGTACGATGAATCGGAGGCGATGCACCGGCGTGCCGTTGCGGGATATCAGAAGATTCTTGGACCTGACCACCCAGACACCTTAATAAGTGTCAGCAATCTGGCCAGTATGCTTCAAAGCCAAGGGAAGTACAAGGAATCAGAGACAATGTATCGGCATACACTAGAGCAGCGCAAGAACATTCTTGGACCAGACCATCCCAAAACCCAATTAAGTGCCAATAACTTGGCTACGGTGCTGCGGCTCCAAGGGGATTCTGGCGATTCTGAGACGGTCGAGCGGCGTGCAGGACAGAGACTGCCAGGAAACCGACAGGGTCAGCGGCCACGATTCGCTCGCCGTGTGGTCCATTATTTTTTTTGCGGGAGAGTAGTCTTCCGCAAGGGTGGTGGACCGACAAGGTGATGCATTTTATCGCTAGCAGCTTCGCAGGGCTAGAGGTGGCAAGAGTGGGTTACTGGTTTCTACTGGCATGGTGGGATGTACGGGTATACGGGGACAGTACTCGGCCATGTAGATCTAACAAGAATGACGAACCAGAGGCTATGTGTTGTAAGCTATCGCATTGTCGCACGTTGAAAGTGTGACATGTGGGGGTTTTTTCTTCTTTTTCCATTCCATTTTGTATTTTTCTTTTCCCCCTTTGGATATATCCTAGTTCGTGTAATAGGACACGATGTGGTACTTGTAGCATTTGTCTTCCCACCCGACAAACTCCTTCTTGTATCATAACCCCTTTGCCTCCCGGAATCATTCCAAGTCACTCGTTTGTTATTATTCACCCAGTTATCCTAAATGCCAAAATGCCATCTGAGTCATCCCTCAACCTCCCATGCCCTCCCTTCTGGTAGCTGTCCCCTGGGAGGTCCATACTAGGCCCTATGCAGTCCAACGTTCTAACAAAATTTAATTTAAAGAAATTCCATTACATCTCTCGCTCCCCTTACGCCATATCCTCCACAGGGCCGGGCGGACTATGAATGACAGCCCGGATGCTCTCCTATTATACGAGTAACAGTATCATACGATGCTATCAGAGACAATGAGCTGTTGTTCAGAGCTTCACGAATCATCTGCGCTCACTCGTGCTTCACAACGGCAGCCCCATTCAACTCATGCTTCACCAAGCGAGTTTGTAAGTTAGTCACTATTCATATTATTATTTTCACCCCCTTTTGCGAGATGGCAGATGCATGCTCTATTTATTTAGCGCGAAATATATTGTGGCTGATCATCATCTCGGCAGAAGAGGGGTGGATAGAAGTACCGAAGTGGAAGGTTCGTGTGGAGAAGGAAAGGTGTATCTCTAGGGAAGACAAGGGAAGTAGAGGGGAGAGCCCAAGGGAGATGGGATGGGACGGGATGGGAAGAGGACGAGAAATCACTGAATGCGCGGTTTCCTTATGATTTCTTCTTATCCCATAGTCCGTTGAAAAAGTGGCCAACTTTTAGCGTTCCCGAGAGCAGGTGTGTTCATGCATTAGTGTGGTGAAAATTGCTGCAATAAGGTAAGTATAATATTGCTTCTAGAACCTTACCCTCATACCTCCAGGTATCATGTTATCTCCAGAACCGCATTCTCTTTGGAGACTAGGCCACTTTTAGTGCATATGGTATCATACCTAGATTTACTCACTAAGTGAGCCGGATATACTAGTACATTAACTAGGGTTCAGGTCTCAGGTATCAATTGACAGGCCCGAACGGTACAGATATGATGCTAGGGAAAATAGTTTACCGTAGTGGGCTTCGCAAGGATCCCATTTTGATTAGCGCCCTTCTTGGCGTGTCCCACTACAATCTGTGGGATAAGATTATCTGTTTGCCTATAGGTGGAATGATCAGGAGAGGGAGTTGTGGTACTCGAGTACTTGTAGGTCGGAAGCCGGAATCTCACATCATACCATTCCGGGACGGAAGAGTCCTACTGGTATGTAAAAAATCGGCCCAGGTACGGTAGAGTAAAGCTGAGAATTTTGGAGTGATGGGATGAAGGGCCCCTCCCCAGGTGCACTCGCGGAGGCAGCAAGAGGTGGCCGAGGGGCGTTTTCATGCCGACAGAGGTTTGTATGATACACGTGACTCGTGCTGCGTAGGTGAAGGGAGAACTACGTATCATACCTCCTCTCCGTTCGGACCCGAAAGCGTTAGACATGTAGAAACCTGTGTGCAATTGGACAGGCGACTTAGCACGATCTGTGTTGCCACACTCGACTCGCTTAACATTTACCATTTCCTACTCGTGATCATGCAGCATGCCAGCCTCGCGCGACCTTCGATGCTACTTGTCATATTTCACTAGGGAATTCCTACAGATACCATGCCTCCACCATGCTTGTGCGTGCTGACCCAAGTCGGCTAGCATTTTCGAAATCTGCCCTAACTCGGATTGTACTCGAGTACGATACAGTAGACGTCTGATTAGTTTTTAAGGTAGGATTATGAGCTTATTTCGCCATGACGATAGGGCAGCCTCTCATCCTGAAAATAACATAGTAAGAGCCGAAGGCTTCTTTCCAAGGATAGGCGAAGTAGCTCTGTTCGCGTATCAGTATCATGGGATGTCCTCCAAAAAGGTACAGCGGATACCTATTTCGAAATGGACGTCCACCTGGAGGATGCACAGTTAAGGGTTGTCGACCTATCGTCTCCAGCCTCATGCGGTGTAACGAGACATGCACCAAATGCTGATGACTGCCTGGACAGCAACGAATGTCAGCCCAAGCGCCAGGGCATTCCACAAACTACCAGGCAGTTGCGTGAAAAAAGTTCGTGGACACGGGTGTCTCGGCACGCCTCGACAACTACCCATACCTACACAAATGGTCGCATATCACAAAAAGTATTTTACAGCAAAAAAGAAAGTAAATCTGACAAGAAAGAGAAGTTGAATATACATAGTTTACCATTTTGTGACACCACCTCCAGATCGTGTTAGAGCAGAAATTCAGTTAGGCATATGGGTAATCCATTTTGACATCCTCCCCCATGGTAAATCCTCCCATACACTTTGAGCGACCTCAATGATCTCCTCCTGTCCATAAGGACGTTTGCTTGGGTCTCCCATTATCCTCCTAAATCGGGATTTCCATATCGCCCAGAGGTTTTCGATAGGATTCATGTCCGGGGAATGGGGAGGCCAATCCATCCTCTTAATCCCATGTAGAAGCCGAAACCTTCTCATATATTTCGAGGTATGGTAGCTTGCACCATCTTCAATGGTTTGAACACTATTATCCAGCCCTCCCATTGCCTCATAAAGGGGAAGGAGATGGGGGACAAGAATTTCATTCACATATTGAACTGAATTCAGTCTCCCTCTATCGGTTTTGCTGGTTCTTTCTGCTTCTGTCCGTTTTCGTATCGGTACAAGCTTCATATATCCAATTGCTGAGAAACCAGCAAAGAACTGAACCTTGATTGGCTCACCAATAAAGCTTGGTGCAAGATATCGTTCTTCGAAGGCTGTGCCAGGTGGGCAACGAACAGTTGGTCGGAGGTGCCGGGGACCAATTTGAAGATAAACTTCATCGGTATAAATGTGGTTCCGCCACCAAGCACTAGAACATGACCGATGGACACGAGCAAATTGACATCTTACTTGTCGGTTTTCACAACTAAGCCACGGTTTCCGCCGGCAAACTCAAACTTGCAGGTTTTGATTTCGTAGGCAATCTCCAACGGTACGTTCGGAGACATTAAGGTCTAACGAGGAGGTAATTTCTTGTATAGTTGCATGTGGATCACGCATAGAGGTAATTTTCAAATACCTCTAATCTGCAGGCGACAATTTTTTTGGTACTCCGGATTGTGGTGCTGGGTCTATTTTGTGTTCCTTCTGCCATGAGCTCACAATTTTGTGTATGGCACTTTTGGAAACACCAAGATCTTGAGCAATTGCCCGGTATGACTGACCAGCAGCATGCTTTTCAATCATGGATATGCGATCCTCGTGGTTGATTTCACCGTTCTTCACCTGTTTGGAATTTGGCATTGTGTTGTTGTTGCTACAATTGAAAAATCTCATTTGTTGGGGGGCTCTTCATTGTGTCATGCCAAGGCGCTATGTCCACGGACTTTTTTCACGCGACTGCAGGTAACTAGCTATCAGGTGGCCGTCTTCCCCACCTAGGCTGTTAAGAATTCTGAGATCCCGCATTACCGGACTACCTCTAGACGCTGTCGCTCTAATACCCGTTCTGTACCCGTATGCGAAGTCTTTGGACTTCACTAAATTCCCATAGCTCGAGCTTGGATTACATTCAACAACTCCCTCAAAACTACACAATCATTCATCTCTATATACAAGGTTGGGTCGTCCACTACCTGTTCGACCGTATCCCCCCCTTAGTGACTTGTGTCAAGCCTCGCCAAACAATTTTTGAGCCATACATACCCCGTTCGGCAACCGATAGACTACTATTCCCGCTTCGGATATCTTAGCGACACATCATCACTTTCCTGCCCGACCTTCGAGAACAGTCCTACAGTGAGTTAAACACGCCAGTATAGTACAGGATGGATCGGTGGGATCCCCTTCTCCCTTAACCCTTACCATTTCAAAATTGTGAGCACTAATCCGATAATCTTTCCAGAAAAATGCAAACCGATATCACCGGAAACTTCAGCGGGAATTCAGGGAATCATAATGTTTTTGGTAGTAATAATAATAACTCGAACACCGTCAACCTGAACAATGTTACCAATCATGGGGGGATATATCAAGGGTGCGTGTTTGGGGCTGGGGATAGAGGTATTTTCAGGCTTCCCCAGAGATTTCCAGCCAAAATCTAATGCGCTACCGGTATCACAACTAGGAGAAGCATCTAGGCCTTATCGGATGATTCCATATGGTAGAAACAGCAAGTTCACCGGCCGTAAACATCTCATTGAGGAGGTAAAGAGGCTTTCCGAGGGTATTAACCACAACCAGATTGCACTCCACGGATTGGGCGGTTCCGGGTATGTATCCATCATTGTTACCAGAATTTCGAAGGTTTACTAACATTGCCCAGAAAAACCCAGATTGCCCTCGAATACGTTTATCAGCGGGCAAGCGAGAGCGATTGTAATGTTTTTTGGGTGCCTGGAAGTGGAGTACAAAAGTTCAGTGAGGGTTTCCGAGCCATTGCGCAGCATATCCGAATTCCAATAGCCAGCGCCGAGATGGACGAAGAGGAATTCCTATTAAATGTAAAGAGGTGGTTTGAAGGACCAGATAAGGGCGATTGGATACTGGTCATTGACAATGCCGACAACGAGGAGGACTTTATCGGCAATAATGGTCG